CGTTTGTGTCAATGGTACTAGAATTAACATCGACAATTTAATTTAGAAATTAGTAGCTATTAACAGTGATTACACTAAGATAGCGATTAGGTGCTTTGAACGACTCTTCGATAAAATCGTGCGTAACGTCGACCTCAATACGGTAGTGCCCAACGCGAACGCTGATAATCATTTAAAATAATTTGAGTTTAAAAAATCGTCGGTATCCAAATGTACCGGCATCTTACACAGTTGATGGAAAAACAAATAATCAATCAAAATCAATAGATTTCGATAAAAATGCTTCCGAATGGATTGCCTCGACGTTTAGTACAGAACGAGGCGAAATCGAGTAACGCAAACACATGAGTACGAGTACCGCGAATAATTATGTGCTAATTAGGTACTTAAGTAGCAGAACGGTACCTACATGAAAATCAAAACATCTTTGACTCAAGGACTATCACTTTCATTGCCTATGATGCTCCTAATTTTGTACTAAGCCAACGGCTTATGAAATAAACAGAAACGCAATGAATTAATTTAAAAGATACACAAATTACTAATAGAAACTGCTGATACCTCTTCCTCCATTTAATTAAAAGTTATAAATTTGTAATTAATTAGATGACAGAACTGAATTAATATATCATTAATCTGAATACTCACATAAATCGCGACGTAACAGGAGATTACATTTTGGAAAGGAGAAGGACTGTTATTGGCAAATACGTACGCGTTACATATTTCGTCAGAAACAATAATAATTAAAAGTTCAGAAATCTGCGAACGATTTCAGTTTTTAATCCCAAAAAAGCCGACAAGTAATTATGTCATAATTAATAACCGATGAGTCTGTCATTATAACATTTTCATTCAACGCATTATTAAGGGTAATTTTAATCAATAATTATACTATCCTTAAAAATAACTTATTAAATGTATAAAACTGCTTATTAATATTCTAGAAACGTGCAACATTTATATTTCCAGTCGCAATTGTGTACTCAAATGCATCACGACTAATTATTTTCCCATAATAAGTATGCACGGATACATTTTTACGATTCCTACACGAACTGATTGGTTTTTAGCGCCATAGACAAATTTTCATGTCTGGCAAATATGATTTGCAATTTGAATTAGAAAAAAATGCATTCATTAATAGTGTCTGGGTATACGTTTAAAAGGTGCGTTCTAAAAATAAAGCGTTTAGATGTAGTTTACTTATGAAATGAGCATAATAATCGTAAATTTTATGGTTGGTTCTAAGCTGCATTAAAGTGGTATAGTTTATTGTTTTTATTTAATGTTCTATATTAATCTTGCATTTAAACGATATAATTTTATACAATTAGTCATAAATTAATTACGTCATATTTCCCTCCTAAACAACTAAAAGTTTCGCGAAATAAATATCTTTACTTTTAAAATTTTTTACAAAAGCCGAAATCTCTATTCAATTGGATGACAGCCATTGGTCTTCAAAACTTGAGACGAACTATGAAAATCTTAATCTCGTCCAAAATTTATAAGCTTGTTTCAGAAGTCAAGTAAAGTTGTTTTCTTAACGGAACAAACGAACAAAGAAGTGGCCCAAGCGAACTGATCAACTGGCAGCTGATAAAATCAATTCTCCTTGGATAAATTGTGCCTGATTCTGGCTAAACGTTCCCAAAATCTGTACGTAAAGAGATTGTTTTTGTTACTGCATTTACCGTTGAAGAATTTCAATTGATTTGTGGTGTATGTACACCGTTTCCCAAAATGAAATTCATATTTTCTTTTCCTCTTAGTGGTTAAATGTCTGGGACAATATTGGTGAAAATTTCGGGGTTGTAATTTCCATGTTACTTTTAATACCAGGAATGAAACAAACCAAACCACTTCTATATACAGTGTGTCCAAGATAAGAATGAGCAAATGATGTTTTAAAAATTCGGAAATTCCGATCAGTTCCGAAGCTATTCGAAAAAAATGGAAATTAATCATATTCGTTCTGATTTTTTTCTGACCCTGTTTGCCAACATATCAAAATCCAAATAACACTTCCGCATAGGAACTTTTAAAGCTCTACATACAAAAATATGAAGTTGATGATGGTTTCTCAGAGACGAAACGTCGCAGTGAAAATCTGTGGGCACCCTCTTGCAGAGCTTAAAAAGTATGATTTGTTTTTTGAAATCTTTTCAAATACGGTTAATTTCGGATTTTTTTTAATATATTCGAAACTGACCGAATTTTACTAAGCCCTAAAATACGATTGTGTATCTCTTATGGTTTCCGATTTCCCCATGCTGTTAATTCTTATCTTGGACATACAGTATACTACGTGAATGCTAGTCAAAGCTGTATTTGTAAATCTTTGGGGGGAGCTTTTTGCTACTAAAACTCTTCACAAACGTAGTCTGTCAGTACAAAAAACATCTATTTCACTTAGTAGTGTAAATAAAGAAAGGGCGCTTTTGGAAGCGGGTGCCAATCCCTATTATTCAATCTATCTACAACAAAATCTATGTCATATTTGTTCTGCGTTCGTTTTAGAAACCGATGCCACGCTATATAGATAAATATATATTTATTTTGCCAATTGGCACAGATTCGTCTTATAAGTTCTTCTTTTTCCTTATCTTATTACTCCACCATTCTCTCATTTCCTCAGTCATATTCCCGTTTATATTTTCAATTTGCCTATTGGTCTCCTTGGCTGTCCTTCATATTTCATCCTTAACTTCAATGTTTCCAATACTTTTTCCGTTCTGTTTCCTCTCCCCTCAGTTGACTGTAACTCCACCCTCTATTTCCTCCATTTTGCTTTGTTCCAGTGACTTTCTTGCTTCTCCTAAAACACCTCAAACCACTCTTCTTTCCTCTTCTTACTATCCTCATTCAACCTCGTCTGCGCTAGGTGCTTTTCCCGCTTCTGCAGCTCGGAAGCATTTGCCCCTTTCATGGCCGTTTGCACCGACAAATTTAAGCGGAGCTTAGCTTAAGCATAGCTTAAAATCCATGGCAACCATTGTCTCAATAATCGTTACCATGGATTTTAAGCTACGCTTAAGCTAAGCTCTGCTTAAATTTGTCGGTGCAAACGGCCATCAGCCTTTCCAGTAAGAAGTCTCCCAAAATTACTATAGGAAATATCGGCCTACGATTGCCGCCATTGCCATAAATGTGTGGATTTATGTAAAAAGTCAACTGAAAGAATCTATAAAAAGTAGAGCTTTTTCCAAGATAGTGAACGGTTCGGTTTCAGAACAGGGGAAGGGGTGTAGAGGTATACTATTTTATCTTTATTAAGGGTTTGATTTTAACCTCAGATTAATCTCATTTGTAACTGTAATTGTTAGAATAAGAGTACGCATAAACTTCGTTGTGTTAACGCTAGAAATGGAAAAAAAGGAGACTAAGTTTAGCGCATTTTCCATGAATTGATCAGTACTTTCCGAAAGGTCATATAACGGACTATTTATGTGTACAGAGGAAAATAAGTTAAGGCATATAAATATTCTTATAAATAAGAAAGTTGACATTGCGCAGTCTATGCATGCGCGCACCTGATGTTTAAAATATGCAATATGCTTGCCTTGGTTAAAATTTCAAATTTTAAAAAATTTCCATAAATAAGAAAGTTGAAAGTTCAAAAAGAACGAACTAAGTATCTTGAAAATTGTAGAAGTCGGCATAACAATCTGTACTAAAATCGGGTGTCAATGTCTTACAGCAACATTTAAATACATGGGACAGCATCTTTGGAGAACTTTGGAGAAATTGTGCTAGTCAGCGAAAACGGTTTCAACAGGATGGAGCGCTTCCCCATTAAGTAGGATTTGTTTGAGAATTGTGAAGATTGGGGAAGAGGAGTGAGTTATAAAATTTCCCCACAGAGTTCAATATTGATGCCCCAAAAGTTGGTAACGACCTTGACATTTCCTGGTGAAAAGTGTAAGTGTAATGTAACGTGAACAACAAACATGACAAGAGGAAGAGAGGTGAGACTACAGCAAGTTTATAAATAATGGTAAAATTAGGCCACTAACTTTATTACCTGTTAGGGAGCCATGTCCAAAAATGAGAAAATATCCCTCTATTCATTGGAAAGTATGGTTCCAAAATTAAGAAAAAAAAGAGCTTTTGACCAGAGGTGGTGCTACTGCGGAATGCACAAAACACCCTTAATTGACATTTGTGGTAGATGAAATTTAATATAGTGTTATTTACCCTTATTTGATCATTGACCGAATTATTTTGGTTCTTTGTTTACAATTTTCAAGCGTGGCGTATGGGTGTTTTGAATCGTTGTTTATGAAAACCTTGTCATTCGAATTTATACTTTCACAGTGCCATGTGCCACAATGCACAGTTGTAACACATTCTTCCACCTAAACCATAAATTGTTTACATCTCGTGTTAATAACTGCATTTCTATCTAAATTTTACGGTTAGTCAACCTGTATGTTTCTATGTTAGAAGTTTATGGAGAAAGTAAAAGTACAAGTCACAATGTAATCTGATCCATTATTCGGGCGTATTTTAATGTTTTTTTTATCTAAAAGTTACTAGCAATTAAAATTTTACACTAACTTGTCGCAATTATTTAAGAAGTAATTGGGGAAAATAAGAACATGATTGCCAAAACCATACCAGAACAAAAAGATAACACTATTTACATAATTAAAGCTTGCATAATTTATAAAAATTTTCAACGGTTATTTACCTAGTAATCGCATTAGCATAACTAAATATTATGCTCCAACATCTGTAGGTGAGATTTTTGCGAACATTACTCATAGTAATTAAACAAATTTACATTCGGTACACGTTTGATAATCTTCTTATTTATCGCTTAGATGCTAATTGCACCGTTATTATCCCACTAAACTGATATTACATTTATAATAACATACCTGCGCCAAGGTTGCCACGGTCAATCCAAATGTCAGTGAAATCTGAGTGTGTGTTGGATTATCCGTAGAAATGACTGATCCGCATCCAATGTAGACCAGTATGAATGTTCCTAGGAATTCGGCCAACAGCATCCGCCATATGTGACGGTTGTCTGTTATATCGGAAACTCCTAAGATACTTCCAGCGCCTGAAACAGTGATGCAATTAAAGAGCTATACCAGGAAAACAATCTTCATTCATCATTTTATTTTAGGTCATTACATTTTTTTCCTCTGTCAATATACGTCGTCTGTGAAGTTGAACTCATATTCAATGAATTTTTATGATCTATGAAGTTATTACCACCTTACTTCTTATTAGTGGATGTTTCAATTGTAAAGAATGCAGCAAAAATTCTGCCAATAGGAGGACTAGAACTTATTTAACCTTTCAAATTTGACACGAGCGCTATACAACATGCATAGGTTGCCATGGTAGCAACAGTAAAGCAGATACTAGTAGCGTCGCCAGTGATAATTGATTGATTGATTGATTTATTGTGCTGCGAGACCGTACAGTCTTTACACTTGTCAGGGTTTGTATATAAATTTAACATAAATAATATAAGACACTATACACCTACATATAAGAGACAAACAAGACACAATTGCAGAATTAAAATGACACGATTATAGAAAAAAGAAAATGTAAAATTAAGAGATCAGGTGACTAGACTCAACGAATTCTTCAAGCGAATAAAACACATGTGTCACTAAAAATGATTTTAACCTGTGTCTGAAGTTGTTATACGGTAATTGTCTGACATTTTGGGGCACAGTATTGAACAAGCACTTTGATTTATAAAGTACACCGTTTTGAGTTACAGCAAGGCGAGAAAATGGACGTCTAACGAGATCTTTTCGTCTAGTGTGGTGTTGGTGGACGTTAAATTGTCTTATAAGTTCTCCTTCGTTCTTCTTTGCATAACATAAAGCTTCAAGTACGTAAACACTAGGAAGGGTTAGTATTTTATGTTCTTTAAAAACATTGCGACAATCTTCTCGGTACCTCAGACTTCCCACGATTCTTACCGATTTACGCTGTAGTTTAAAAATGCGCTTAGACGAGGGAGAACTTCCCCATGCCAGTATAGCATACGATAATAGACTGTGGATTAGGGCGAAGTAGGCGTTTTTAACCACTTTTGTTGACGATATAACATTTAGACGTCTAAGTAAGAAAATGGACTTATTAATTCGCGCACAAAGACTATCACAGTGCAGATTAAAGTTTAAGCGACGATCAACAAGACACCCCAGGAAGTTAACACACGGCATGTTGCTAGATGTGACACTTTGGTTCCTCAAACTGAGACACGCAACTGAGGTCTTTTGAGTGTTTAATTTTAGGTGGTTTCTCGCACACCAGCTCTCGATGTGCAGCATCCCGTCATTGACAATTTCCCGTGCCTCCTCCGGATTGCTTCCATTTGCTATTAGCGTCGTATCATCTGCGTATAGTATGCAGTCGATCTTTGGCGGTAGACTCTCCGGCATGTCATTTATGTACACGAGGAATAACAAAGGTCCCAGAATGGACCCCTGTGGTACTCCGACGTTCACAATAGATCGTTGCGATAGAGAGTTGTTGCATAATACATATTGAGACCTATTCTTCAAATATGACTCAATTAGCATGCAACTTGTTTCACTAAAATTGTAACGATGCTTCAGCTTGTGTAGTAGGATCTCATGACATACGCGATCAAAAGCTTTTGATAAGTCGATGAAGGCGGCGACATTGTATTGACCCTTTTCAAAACATTCCAATGTACCATTTACCAGGCTCCGTTAACTTAGCACCACCATTTCAAATTTTTGACTAAAGACAGATTGCGCTAGAATCACTATGGCTAGCGCCAGCTAGCGCCACTTTGAGTTCAGCTAGCGCCATTATAGATTTTGCAGAAAAGCCCTTGATTTTCGGGGGGTGCTATGTTAACGCTAGCACCACCATTGCGTCCGATCATTTCCAAAAGCAAGCGCTGTGTTCGTCAGACCTAGCGCCAGCTAGCGCCACAAATTTTAGAGCTAGCGCCACCCCCCAATAGTGAGGGGAGCAATTTTTCCTAGCACCACCATTTTGTTTTTTCGGGTAAAATTTTGACGTTTTGTGTTCTGCTGGCCTAGCGCCAGCTAGCGCCACAAATTTTATAGCTGCCATCACCCTCCAATAGTGTGGGGGGAGGGGGCACCACCATTTTGTCTTTTCGGGTAAAAATTTGACGTTTTCTGTTCTGTAGACCTAGCGCTCAAGTTAACCTGTGTGTAACCTATAACGAGTTTATAATTTTGCGGTGTCTGTCCGTCTGTCCGTTAGCACGATATCTTGATAACGATAACGAATTGACCGTTTACGATGAAATTCTGTAGATGGATTCTTTATCAAATTTGTAGATCGGAGTTCGTGAATTGGTAATGTAGACAAAAAAATAAAGTAGGCACTTTTGACATCTCTGTGAGTTATGAACCGAATTGTATGAAATTGAATGTGTATAGCTTTAGCCATATAAAACGCAATTCCAAAAGTTGAGCCTAATCGATCAACATTCACAGTGCTCTTTTCGCATCTCGACCATTTACAAACCGGATTGAAATCTTTCTTATTTATGGAAGCATTTAAAAGAAATTTGATACATAGCCACTTGGAATAAAAGCAAATTTAACGCCAGTTTCAAAATTGTCGTCGCTGCGAAAAGGGCATTGTGAATGTTGATCGATTAGGCTCAATTTTTGGAATTGCGTTTTATATGGCTAAAGCTATACGCATATTGAATTTCATGCAATTCGGTTCATAACTCACGAAGATGTCAAAAGGGCCTTCCTTATTTTTTGAGTTACATTGCCAGTTCACGAACTCCGATCTACAAATTTGATAAAGAATCTCGTAAAGAATCCACCTACAAAATTTTATCGTAATCGCTCCATTCGTTATCGAGATATCGTGCTAACGGACGGACAGACGGACAGACACCGCAAAATTATAAACTGGCTAGGAGCTCGTTAATAAATGATAATTTTCTTCCATGCGGATCGTGGTCCCCATTACACTGACTGGCCGCGTTACCTGCACGTTGTATCTGTATGGCAATACTTAAATTTGTCGTAAGTAAGTGGTAGCTCGGGGTTCCCCAGTAATATTGGTAATGCGTTTTCCCAGGTATTCTATAAAATTTTCGAGCTTCTCTACACCAAGGTCCCAATGTCTCTACTGCGAAAGGTATAAAAATATGGTTCTGTTCTATAATAATTGAACTGTATTTCCTTATTTTAATACTTGCCGCAGATTCAGCTACCACACCACTCGTTTTACTAGAAAATTAATCCAAAATATTTCAGTGGAGCCAAGTCATAAAGCTACGAAAAACTGTCCCAGACTACTTGGGTGTGGCGCCTACTCTTAAGATTTTGACTCTATCTGGGAGATGTCAGCAAAACACAAAATAGCAAAATTGTACACGAAAAAACAAACCGGTGGTATTATAAAAAAAAGGACCTCCACAATGTTGGGGATTGGGCGCCAGCTCTGCGCTACGTTTAAAGAACACAGCGCAGCGCTTGCTTTTGGTAGTCATCGAACACAATGGTGGTGTTAGAGGCTAATAAACCACCCCCAAAAGTTAAATGCTTTTTGCAAAATTTATAATTGCGCTAGGTTAACTTGAGCGCTAGGTCTACAGAACAGAAAACATCAAATTTTTACCCGAAAAGACAAAATGGTGGTGCCCCCTCCCCCCACACTATTCTAGGGTGATGACAACTCTAAAATTTGTGGCGCTAGCTGGCGCTAGGTCAGCAAAACACAAAACGTCAAAATTTTACCCGAAAAAAACAAAATGGTGGTGCTAGGAAAAATTGCCCCCTGCACTATTGGGGGGTGGCGCTAGCTCTAAAATTTGTGGCGCTAGCTGGCGCTAGGTCTGACGAATACAGCGCTTGCTTTTGGAAGTGATCGGACGCAATGGTGGTGCTAGCGTTAACATAGCACCCCCCGAAAGTCAAGGGCTTTTTTGCAAAATCTATAATGGCGCTAGCTGAACTCAAAGTGGCGCTAGCTGGCACTAGGTCAGCAGAACACAAAACGTCAAAATTTTACATGAAAAGACAAAATGGTGGTGCTAGGAAAAATTGCTCCCCTCACTATTGGGGGGTGGTGCTAGCTCTAAAATTTGTGGCGCTAGCTGGCGCTAGGTCTGACGAACACAGCGCTTGCTTTTGGAAATGATCGGACGCAATGGTGGTGCTAGCGTTAACATAGCACCCCCCGAAAATCAAGGGCTATTTTGCAAAATCTATAATGGCGCTAGCTGAACTCAAAGTGGCGCTAGCTATAGAGATTCTAGCGCAATCTGCCTTTAGTCAAAAATTTGAAATGGTGGTGCTAAGTTAACGGAGCCCATTTACCAGCTTGATTATGGCATTGGAAGTAGACTTTCCATTTCTAAAACCGTATTGGTCAGAATATAAGAGATCATTTAATTCGAAGAAAAATATCATCTGCTGATGTAATATTTTTTCGACAATCTTGGAAAAGACTGGAAGGATGGAAATCGGTCTATAATTGCCAACGTCATCTCTGTCACCTTTTTTAAAAAGAGGCAATATCATTGCCTTTTTCAACTCATCAGGAAAGGCTCCTTTGCTAATGATGGAGTTAGTTATAATGGTCAGAGGTTTTACTAGAATTTCAATATTATGTTTTAACAACTTAGTATTGAAACCATAATGCCATAATGCACCTTAAGGGGATGTTCCTGTTCTTGTTCTTGGTATGATTAGAGATTACCATACGCTCCCTATTTGTCCACGTGTGACTTTTTCCCATTCCCAATATTAAAGCGGTGCCGAAGAAATCATGATGTGAAACTTTGGAGAACCTTTCCATAAAACGAATAGAATTTTTTTTCGATGGGTTTCCCATTTTTTGTACATTTTCTTGCAGCCCTTAACATTTTCTTTTTAAAATTTATCGAAATATGCAAAGTGCAAAAACGACAATAATTACCAAGTATTATCACTATTTCGACAATTTTTTAAAATTTTGCTAGCAGTTGTCCGATATTCGTGTTGTGAAAAATTGTAAAGAAAAGAAAAATGGTGAAATATCAAGATAAGGTAGTATGTATTTTGCGGAGGTGTAACGAGAGGA